CCCCCAAACAGGTGAAATAACCATACTATAAAAATTACAAAACATAGTTGAAAAAAAGTAAAGAAGACCAATGGGGAAGCATCCTGTGTCCTTGAATCAGAAGAGTTGATTTGGACACACGTCCACGCCACCCAAAGCGACCCCCAGATGCAATGAGATCCCCACCAAAAGTGTAATGCCATGTTCTGCAGAAACAGAAAAACCCATCTAGAAATGCAATCTCAGTGGACCCCAAATAGCCAATCGACCTTAAAGAAAAATACCTCTAGGGCGGTGCCTATGGCTCAAAGGAGTAGGACGCCAGCTCCATACACCAGAGGTGGCAGGTTCAAACCTGGCCCTGGCCAAAAACTGCAAAAAAAAGAAAGAAAAGAAAAATAGCTCTAAAGGATTCCACTTCCTGATTTCAAAGCTCACTATAAAGCTACAATAATCAGAACTGAGGCACCAGCGTAAAGGCTGACACCAGACCACAGGAATGGCCCAGAGAGCCCAGAAGCAAACACTCACCCACGCAGTCAGGGAATCTGTGCTGAGCCTGTCAAGACATTTCAGTGATGAAAGGACAGTCTTTTCAACAAGTGGTTCTGGGAAAACTGGATGTCTACACACAACAGATATCATTCAACCCTTACCCAAAACCACATACAAAGCTCAAAACGGAGCAAGACCAGAGAATGTAAGTAAAGAATTGGAAACTGTTTTTAAAATGGCAAGGCTAGAAATGAAAAGTACAGTAGATGAAATTTTAAAATGCACACTATGAACATAACAGGTAAGATGAAAGGGAATCAGTGAACTTAAAGGTACAGCAATAGAATTTACCCAAGATGAAGAAAAAGAAGATAAATAATTACAAATTAAAAGTATGAAACTTATGAGAAAATGTCAGTGTAACGTATACACTTCGTACGTAATATGAAACGCAAGAGAAGAGGTATGGAGCCATAAAAATATTTTAAAGAGATAATGATAAAATTTCTCAAATTTGGTTTTAAAATAAACAAACAACAACAACAAAAGAAAAAGCCCAACTTACTGATCTGAGAAACTCAGAAAACCCCTGCAAAATAAAGAGAAAGAAAACCACATAAGGGCGCATAATATTTAAATTGTTAAAAACCAAAAGAAAAAGGTCAGGCACAGTGGCTCACGCCTGTAATCCCAATACTCTGGGAGGCCAAGGCAGGTGGATTACCTGAGTTCACAGGTTCGAGACCAGCCTAAGCCAGACTGAGACTCCATCTCTAAAACTAGCCAGGCATTGTGGTGGGCACCTGTAGTCCTAGCTACTCAGGAGGCTGAGGCAAGAGGATTGCTTGAGCTCAAGAGTTTGAGGATGCTGTGAGCTGTGACACTTCGGCACTCTTCTCAGGGCTACAGAATGAGAGTCTCAAAAAATTAAAAAATTAAATTAAATTAATAATAAATAAATAAAGCTAAAAGACAAATATCCTCAGCTTAGAATTCCATATATACAGTAAAAATTGTTCAAAACTAGCATTGAAACGACAACATGGTCAGAAAATCAAAAACCGAGAGAATCCCTGGCCAGCAGACACACACTCCATAGCGGGGGTGGATGGGTGGGGTGAAACCAGGTGGGCGCTGACATGGGATGGCAAAGAAGCAGGAAAGGGTGAAGACTCTTCCTCTTTCTTCTCTAATTGACTTGTAAGATAATTGGCTGCGTTTTTTTTCTTGAGACATCACAGCTCACAGCAACCTCAGACTCTTGGGCTCAATTGATTCTCTTGCCTCAGCCACCCAAGTAGCTGGGACTACAGGCACCAGCCACAACGCCCAGCTACTTTTAGAGACAGTATCTCACTCTGGCTCAGGCTGGAATTGGTTGCATTTAAATGATCGATTCAACAGATCATTTTAAAACTCAGTAACTGGCTCGGCGCCAGTGGCTCAAGCGGCTAAGGCACTTAGCCTGAGCTGGTGGGTTAGAGTCCAGCCCAGGCTGCCCAACAACAATGATGGCTGCAACCAAAAAAGAAAAATAGCCAGCAGTTGTGGCGGGCACCTGTAGTCCCAGCCACTTGGTAGGCTGAGGCAGGAGAATCGCTTGAGCCCAGAAGTTAGAGGTTGCTGTGAACTGCGATGCCATGGCACTCTACCAGGGCAACAGCTTGAGGCTCTGTCTCAAAAACAAACAAACAAAAAAAAAACTCAGTAACTAAGTCACATACAATTCCTACTGTGGGAAGAATTTTCTGAGTGGAGGTTGAATTTTATCAACTGCTTTTTCTGTATCTACTGAGATGATTGTGTGGGTTTTTCTCTTTACTCTGTTGACATGGAGAATTGTATAAGTTTATTTTTGAACACTGAACCAACCTTGTATTCCTGAGATAAATCCAAAATGGTCATGAACTTGAATGTCTTTTACATGTTTTTGTATTTGACTTGCTAATGTTTTGTTGAGAAATTTTGCATCTGTTTTCATAAGAAACATTAGCCTATGGTATCTTTTTTTTTTTTTCCGGAACATCAGCAGTTGCCAGTCCGGTTACACAGAGGTGGGTATACCCGTCATTGTCACTCAAGCACCCATCGTCACTCTCTGACCTGCCCTCCACAATAAGAAACAGGTAAGGACTATCCTACCCAACAAGCTATAGTATTTTTTCATGTTTTTGTCCAATTTTGATATCAAGATTATGCTGGCTTTATACACAGCTGTCTCTAGAGAGGCCATCAATCAAGCCATCTCCCTGTCTGCTATTCTCAAGGCCCCAGCTTTTGTTTCATGGATGCTTCTTCTCTTTTCTACTTTATTGGTCTTTGCTGGTATTTTAAATATTTCACTTATTTTGCTTATTTTGAGTTTAATTTATTTTTTTTTTACCCAAAGTGAAAATGTAGGTGATTTATTTCAGGGCTTTCTTCTTTGCAAATGTAAACATTTAATGATGTAATTGTATCCCTCAAGCACTACTTAGCTGAGTTCCACATATTTTGACATGTCTTTTCATTTGTGTTTCATTTAAAATATTTCCTTATTTCTCTAATGACTTCTTTGAAACATGGATTATTTAGAAATACGTTGGTTAGTTTCCAAATATGCAGGGGATTTCCAGCAATCCTTTTGTTGTTAATGTCTAATTTAACTTCATCATCCCCAGAGAACACACACAGCATTATTTCAAGTCCCTCAAAGGTATATGGGTTGATTTTACGGTGCCGAGTAGAGTCTGTTTGAATGCTCCGTTTGTACTTGAGAAGGAGTATTCTTTCATATCGGTATTGTTGGGAGGCGTGTTCTATAAATATCAACGCGGCCGGAGTGACTGAGAGTATTGTCCAGGCCTTCTGTGTCCTTGTGATTTTCTGTCTACCTGCTCTTTGAAGCTCGAGTCCAGTGACATGTGCTTCATCAGTTTCTCCTTTCCATTCTCAGATTTTTGCCACATGAGTTTTAAAATTTTGTTAGTAGGTGCTTATGCGCTTACATTCCTTAAGTTTTCTTGATGAATTAAGCCCTTTATCATGATGCGATACTCCTCTTTATTCCTGGTAATATTTCTTGATCTGAAATGCACTCTTTTGATATGAATATAACCATTCCAGCTTTATTTTTATTTTTTTTTTTTTTAAATATGGAATGCTTCACGAATTTGCGTGTCATCCTTGCGCAGGGGCCATGCTAATCTTCTCTGTATCGTTCCAATTTTAGTATATGTGCTGCCGAAGCGAGCACTCCAGCTTTATTTTGATCACCATTTCTATGGTATATTTTCTATGTGCTTACTTTTAACCTACTTATGGTTTTAAATTTAATGTGAGTGTTCTGGCAAACAGAATATAGCTGAAATGTGCTTATTCATCCAATTTGAAACCTCTGTCTTTCCATTTTGGTGTTTAGACATTTTGCATTTAATGTACGTGTTGACATACTTAAATGTAAAACACCACCTCACTAGTTGTAGTCTATTTGTCGCATCTGTTCTTTTTCTCTGTTCCTTCCTCATGCCCCTCTCTGTGGCTTAATGTTCTTACTCCATCTCACCTCTCCTTTTAGTTTACATCTTCTGAAACTCAGTCGGCCTAGAGTTTACAACACACACTTTTAGTACAACTCAATATACCTCCAGATAATATTACACCACCTCGTCTGTGAGTGTCAGGGCTTGGAGGCAGGTGCTTCTACCCCCCAATTCTTGGTGTTATCTTGTCATAGTTTCCTTTTACTTATGGTAGGAATCTCACAATGTATCGTCACTAGACAAGCAATTGTTTTGCAATAACTTTTATATTTATCTTCTTTAAAAAATAATTTGTGAAAACCTTCTTTCCTGTGTGTAGACCTAAATTTCTCCCCTGGCACTCGGGGAGGAAGGTTTTCCCATGCTTGCTGCTCTTGGGTCCGGGGAAGGCAGACTCTGCTTTGCATCTGTGGAGGGTTCCCTGTGTGACAGGGTCCTCATCCTCTCTAACATAATAATGCTTTGTGGCATCGTGTGGGCTCTGGAGCCCAGGCCTGTTTCCCATGCATCTTTCAGAATAGAGGATTTTTTTGTTTCTACTCCGCCCCATCCACGGTGCAGTCCTTAGGAGGTGGCTGAGGGGACAGCACCCTCAGCTCCCCCACCCCACCCAGGAACCTCCACTCTAGCTCAGCCATTGGGAAGAGCTCTCTGAGGAGGGCTGCTGTCCTTACATTAGTCAGCCTGCACTCTCAGGAAAAGCACTTCACATACATGTGACGATACACAGGACAGACAGGGTACCCAGGAAGGCAGATTTATTTGGCTCACATGGGCTTCAGTTATCTGCTGCAGTGAGTGAAGGACCCTGACCAGGACACCCCTAAGGGGTCCTCAGGCTCAGACTATGTCATTCTGCTACCTTTACCCAGACAATCTGAGGGTCCTCGAGCACACATTCGATGTACTCCATGCAGAAACTAGGGGCCCACCAAGCACTCATGCTAGGTGGGGAAGAGCAGTGGACCCATCTGCCCTGGGAGCGGCTGGTTTAGACACTCATGGTCAGCAGCAGGAAGGGGCATTGCAGGGGCCAGGGCTGCAGAGGAGGGTGGGGCAAGAGGGCTGACAGTACCAGGAGGGTTGGCAGGAGGGGGCCACACACACAGAAGGCCTGCAGCTCACGGGCACACACAGAGCAGGTTTGCAGACAGCTGGCTTACAGCTCACGGGCACACACGTGGAGGACTGGCAGGAGGGGACAGCACACACAGAGGACTGGCAGGAGGGGACAATGCACACAGAGGACTGGCAGGAGGTAACTGCATACATGGAGGGCCTATAGCTCACAGACAGGCAGCAGGCCAGCTGGCAGGGGCTGTTCACACAGCAGGCCAGCTGGTAGCTCAAGGAGCAGCTGGGCTGCACATGGTGGTGTGTGGCTGGGTTGCTGTTGGAGAGGAGGGTGCTGGCGGAGGGAGCTCCATCGCTGGGCAGACTTTATATCCAGGTGCTGGCGTCGGGTAACACAGAAGCACAGTTGTTAACTTCCTTGTGGTGTTTCCACCAAGGTCCCCCAACATCTCGTCTCCTCACATGAATGTCCCTGCGTTCCACTTTGAGGAAAATTTCTTCTACAGACAGGATGATCTGCTGGGACCCCGTGCGGGCTCCGTGTTGAGTGACTGTGCACAGCTCCACTGCCTCCAGTCCAGATGCCAAGTCCTGCTCTTTCTTTTCATTGTTGTGGTGTCAGTGAACACCAAGGCCATAATGTGTTTTGGGGTGTAATTTGCAGAGGAAAACTTTAAGGCACAGGTTAGCAAACAGTATGGTCCTGGCCCACTGCCTGTTTTTGTAATTAAAGCTCTTTTGGATCCAATGTGCCCATTTTATATGTATTATCTGTGGCTCCTTTTGTGTTATGGTGGCAGCGTTATGGAGTTAGGAACAAGAGTCTGACTTGGAAATTTTATAAGAACCACTCTCTGGCCTTTATGGAATGTTATCCAACACCTACCATAGCATAATCCATGTGAAAATTTACTTGTTCATGCCAGAAATACACAGGGTGCCAACAAACATAGACATATTTTAAGAAAGAAAAAACTGTATCAAATTTGTAATACTCAGGTCACTTTTGGCTTCTGTCACTACAAGAAGGCTCAATGTGACTTGCATTCAACTTTTTTAGTAGGAGGACAGAATTTAACTTTGTTACCCTTGGTAGAGTGCCATGGCATCATAGTTCACAGCAACCTCAAACTCTTGGGCTTAAGTGATTCTCTTGCCTCTGCCTCCCACGTAGCTGGGACTACAGGTGCCAACCACAACACTGGGCTATTTGGGGGTTGTTGTTGCAGTTGTCATTGTTGTTTTAACTGGCCCTGGCCAGGTTTGAACCCACCAGCCTCAGTGTATGTGGCCAGGGCCCTACCCCCTGAGCTACAGGTGCCACCCCAGCTATTTTTTTTTTTTTAAGAGAGGAGGTCTCACTCTGACTCAGGGTGATATAAAACCTGTGAGCTCAGGCAAGCCACCTGCCTTGGCCTCCGAGAGTGCTAGGATTACAGGCCTTAGCCACCACACCTGCCCTGTGTTTAAGTTTTATTCTCAGTTTATGTTGAGTATTTCAACTTTAATATAGTTTTTTCCTTTTGTAAAATGTGGGTACATTGTTTGGCACCTTCTGTATATACTACAGAAGGGTGCTAACAGTAGGGAGGTCCTCAGTTCAAGGGCTCTCCAGCAGTGGACGATGAATAATGAAGTGGATGAACAAATGAATGCATGAAATAATTCCAGAGAAGGCTGAGTCCTGGCAAGCAAAATGCAGAGTAATGGGGATGCTGGTGGGTGGCCCAGGGACCTCTGTGAGGAGACAGGACAAGTTGGCCTCCAGAAAAGGTGTTTGCACAAACCAGGCAGAGTTTGTGCAAGGGGTGAGGATGCTGCTGTGGAAACCGGTATGTTCTAGGGAGGCAGGAAAGCACACACCCTGGGAGCTGGGCTGCAGGTCCATGTGGACAGGCTGGAGCACGTGGCGCCAAGGACCAGGCATCACAATGCCACGGGGGACCTGGGGGTGGGGGTCAGGAGGCACATGTGGGGAAACACAGAGTCAGTGAGCTGGAAGACACATCAATAGAAATGGTCTGATCTCAGGAATCGGAGAAACAGTTCAGACAATGAAAAGAACATGTAAGACAATACCACATGGTCTCGTGCAGAAGTAATTTCAACCTCAGGAGAGAAGAGAATGAGACTGAAGCATAAATAAGTTTTGAGGAAAAAACAGGCACCTCCCCCAATTTGATATTCAAAGGTACCAATTTCACATCCAAGAATCTCAGAAAACTGCAGCATGATAAATATAAAGAAAACCATATCTAAACAAAATCTTTTTTTTTTTTTTTTTTTTTTTGAGACAGAGTCTCACTTTGCTTTCCTTTGTAGAGTGCCTTGGCATCATAACTCACAGCAACTTCAAACTCTTGGACTCAAGTGATCCTCTTGCCTCAGCCTCCCAAGTAGCTGGGACTACAGGCGCCCGCCACAACGCCTGGCTATTTTTTGGTTGCAGCCGTCATTGTTGTTTGGCGGGTCCGGGCTGGGGATTCGAACCCACCACCCTAGGTGTACGTGGCTGGAACAAAATCTTTAAAGTGATTAAGACCACATATAGTCTCAGTGCCTGTGGCTCAAGTGGCTAAGGTATAAGCAACATACACCAAGCTAGCAGGTTCGAATCCAGCCCAGGCTCACCAAACAACGACGGCTGCAACCAAAAAATAGCCAGGCATTGTGGCGGGCGCCTATGGTCCCAGCTACTTGGGAGGCGGAGGCAGGAGACTCGCTTGAGCCCAGGAGTTGGAGGTTGCTGTGAGCTGTAATGCCATGGCACTCTACCCAGGGGGACAGCTTGAGGCTCTGTCTCAAAAAAAAAAACACAGAAACACAAAATCTGCCAGGCTGAGGGATGCAGCAGGGGACACTAACCCATAGGAAGGGCAAGCCCAGGGGTGGTAAAGCAGCAGTACATGGCAAAGGCCCCTTCTCACTCCTCTGCAATGGCTGGTAAGGCAACTAACCTTTTAAAATGTATTACTTGGCAACTAGATCATATATGAGCATGTGGCCCCACGTGGCTGCCCCAAATTCTCTTTGTTGTTAACTATGATTTGCTCTGTGCCCAGTGCCAAAGGAGCTTCCTGGTATGGGGCTGAGCTTATGGACCTGCCTGGCTTGTCCCTGGGGTCTGAGGGGTCACTCCCAGCACACGGCTGTAGTTGGTTCTGGGTTTGTTAGCTTTTTAAGTTCTGACCATGGATTTAGTCTTTGAGACTCAGCATGGTCTTCAGCCTTGGAGGGGATTTCCTTCATGTGGGGTCTAATGTACCCCAGGGCTGCTTGGGGGAAGTGCCCTTTGCCACCCCCAACAGTCACAGAAAGACCCACAAAGATGGGAAGGTAGCTCTAAGGGCTGCCTGAGCTGAAGGGACCAGTCCTTCCCTGGAGCTGGCCCATCCTCCCATGGCAGCACTGGGAATAACACACTGTCTCATCCTTAAAGAACAGAGAGCTGGGATTGGAGGAGGAGCACTTCCCCCTCTCCTGCCTGCTACTTCCTTTCCACTAACCTGAGTTTGCAGGAGTGAGGCAGATCAGGCTACTACACGGAAAGAGGAACCAGGCCTGGACAGCCCAGGCCCTCCCTCCACAGTCTCCTCCCGGGCTCCCCCTGAAAAGCCACCTGTCTACAGGTGGGCAGCACTGAGGGTGATGGGAGGAAGCTGCTGTGGCCACACAGCTAAGCCATGTCCTCCAAACCCCACGTGGCCGATACTTTCATTCATATACCTGTCCTCTTGTCTGTCCCAACTGACTACAGACTTCAGGATGCATCATTTGTTGAACCCTTGATCCCCAATACAATTGGGTAAAGATCATCAATTCCAGAGGTCAACCGAGTACTCCAAACTGCTGCTTCTCCACTTGCAGCTGCTCAAACATTCACACATCACAGAGACCTTCTACAACTTTCTCCCTGAACCTGTGTATATCTGCCACAAAGTGAGACCTGAAGCATGTGGTTCTTCTGGTAAGAATAACTATCTCGGCTAGGTGCCTATAGCTCAACTGGCTAAGGCGCCAGCCACGTACACCTAAGGTGGCGGGTTCGAATCCAGCCCGGACCCGCCAAACAACAATGATGGCTGCAACCAAAAAAAATAGCCGGGCATTGTGGCGGGCGCCTGTGGTCCCACCGGCACTCTTCCCAGGGGGACAGCTTGAGGCTCTGTCTCAAAAAAAAAAGAATAACTATCTCACAAATGGAGCCCCAGCAGCCTGGTTCTCTGGTTGGGAAGACCATGCTGACAGGTGAGCTTCTCTGCCTAAATGGGCCCCTGTGTGGTGAGGATGACTGTGCTTCTAGGGGCAGCAGAAGGGACTGATGACAGGGGGACCATGAAAATCCACAAGATTGGCCCCCTGACCTTGCCAACAGCACTTCACCTGCTGACCAAGCCACCATGTCTAGAAAACACGGGGTCTGCTAGTCATAGGAGCCTCCTGCTGAAAGAACTTCTTGATCTGAGTCACTTCAACCGGAAACTCCAGAAAGATCTACAAGAGAGGGCAGAGGAGGAAGGACTAACAACCACCAGGAAGAAGATACCAGGTGGCTTGTGCAGGGATGCTTCAGCCTGCATGTGACGTCCCCCTGGGAAGCAGCCTCAAGACCAGTCCTGCCCCTACCCGGCTACATGCTACCATGTGCCACATGAACTACAGCATGAGCTGCCCCTCAGGCTCTCGTACCCAGCTCCCTGCACTGTGTCCTCACTGCCTGCCACCCACCCCAAGACTGCAGGACCTCCTACTGCCCCCCAGCCCCAGCCCCTTCTGTGGCTCTGCTGTGCCAGCCCACATGTGATGTGTCCTCTTTCTGCCAGGTGACTTCTGTGTGCACATGACCTGCCAGTTCCCAAGTGCGTGCCCAGGGACTTCGAGCCTTCATGTGCGTGGCCCCCTCCTACCTGGCCCTGGTCTGCAGATCCTATCACTCACTCATGGCACCCTCACCGGCTGCTGACTAACTGTCTGGACAACCAATTCTCTGCCTCTGTTCACAAAGAGCCTTTCTTTTTCTCCGTTTCTCAGAATTCCTCCAGCATAGCTCATTCCTGAATCAGTGACAAGTCCACACCCCATGGTGACTGGAATTATCCCCCAGCACCTTATGCAGGAAAGCTTTGTTACCTATAAAATATAAAGCTCTCTGCCCCTCCATTCTGAGTCTCTTTAGTTATTTTCCCTGAAGCTATTTGTCATTGTTGTCATTGCTATCTTGACCAAGGTGGCACTGCCATGGAAGTCCTGGACTTGGTGCTACTGAATGGACACAGACACCCAAGGGGCAGCCTCCAGAGCTCTGCCTGCTGGGACAGAGAGAGCCAAGGGGCAGCCTCCAGAGCTCTGCCTGCTGGGACAGAGAGAGCCAAGGG